TCGGGGAATGAAAAGGGAGTGCCCCTGGGCCCCCCAAAAAAGACAAAGGGGAAGTCTGGGGGGGGGGTTTAGCCTAATTTCTCGACAGCGACCCTAATGCCACCTCCGTGCTTCGCCTGCCGTTTGGAGCACGTTTATTTCGGGAGAAGGCCTTATTTCTGAAAAACACACGCCGTCGGAAAGAGCAGCGGGGGTGCCCTCCCAGGGCCAAGCACGGCAGGACCTACCTGGGCGCCGTTTTCTTCCGCTCGCAGGTACGTCTGGTGCTGACGTTTCTGGACTTCGTTCTGGAGGGAACGCTTCTTCCCATAAAACTTTTGCAAACCTGTTACGGAGAGGGTCAAACGGGCGCTCAGTGGGCGGCCTCTTAAATCATCCGGAGGGAACAAAATCCTGGGGCCTCGGGCTTCCCCCTCTGTAAAAAGGGGCTAGGTCCTCTGCGGTTTGCAAAGGCGAGCAAACGGATTTGGGTTTGCAAAAAGAGTTAAGATTATCCGGTTACCAAAATGGCAGAACGGTTTCTCCTGGTCTCGTCTCCTTCCCTGATTATTCCCCACCGCACTGCCATTCCCGTATTAGCATCCCTCTCCCTGGGCAACCAGGCGGCCGGCTGGCTGGCCACTTGTTTTTCTCCTCCGTCTCTTAATTTTTATTCAAGAGGCCCTTTGCACGTGTGACACAGACGCGCCACCCTTTGCCGTGGCCCCGGGGCCTCTTGAGCGAAGCCGAGCGTGACGCGGAACTCAGCTGGATCCCAGGTCTGGGAGGATCCCGCCAGACTTACTGGCCAAGTGTTTCTTTCCGGAGCGGTGAACCGTGAGCATGTCCAGAGTGTCAAAAACCGGCCTTTGGAAGCAGACAGTGCAGGCGTACCTAGAAAGGGGTGGGAGCAACGTGGGGACCAACTCTGACCACCAGGATGGGGCGTCGGGATGGAGAGGCGGGCTTGGCACCCACCCGCCCCGTTACCCCCCGACGGCACGCGGAGCAGGCTCAGGATTCGCACTCGGAGCTGAGTCGGCAAGCAAGTCCTCACCTGCCATCGCGCAGCAGCAAGGCTTCGTCCTCGGGGATGTAATTGGCCAAAAGCTCAGCCACCCTCCGCTTCTGGAGAGGGAGGAAAGAAGGCGGAAGTCCAGCAGGGCAGGATGATGGAGGAAACAGGGCAGAGAGGCCCCAACTCTCCCAAAGGGCACCCCCGCGTGGGTGTGTCTTGGGGCAGCAGGCAGGCAGGACCGAGATGCCCACGACTGGGGCAAAGCGATTAGGGCACTGACCCGAGAGGGGTGCCAACCCCAGCCCTTTGAACAAAACAAAACCTTCGGTGCAGGGTGCGTCTGAGCACACGCAGAGTGCAGGGCTGCCGTTCTAGGGGTGAGGCGTTTCCGGGGGTCGTCTTCCGGCCACCCTCCCAACAACCCAGCGAGGGTCGGCTGCGGTCATGCTCGGGGAGGGGGAGGGAGGGGTGAAAGAGAGGGGGAGGCCCCTCCCTTAGCCCAGCCGCCCCCCCGATGGTGGCCTTCCTGAGTGCTGGACTACAATCCCCATCTTCTGGCTGCGGACGATTGGAGCTGCAATCCAACCCTTCCGGAGGGCAGCCCCTTGAGGAGCGATCTGCACCTGCAGGCTCTCTGCACGTGCTCGGCAGCCCCGGGCGCTTAGGAGCACGCGCAGAGGGCTCGGACCCAAGGACGGGGGGCCACGAGCGGAGGACCCCAGCCGTGCCCCGGCCTCCCCCGCACTCACCTTGAGCACCTTCAGCTGGCTGGGGTCGTCCCCCTCCCGCTTGAAGGACATGGCCCCCGTCCGCCCGCCGCCCCCAACTGGAAGAGGAAAAGGCTCCCTTCCCGGCAGGGCAGAGCTCGGACTACATTTCCCAGCAGGCCGCGGGCTGGCGCAGCCCTTCCCGCTCCGCCAATCAGGACGCAGTCCCCGGCGGGCCGGCAGAGGGCGCTCCCGGGGCGCCTGCGAAGACGGCGAGGGACTCCATTTCCCGGCAGGCCGCGCGGGGAGCGTTGCTGGCTTTGGCCCTGCCAAGGCCGGGCCCGCGCCGAGCCCCCGAAACCCTGCAAAACGGTCCTCAAAAAAGCCCCAGC